GAGTTGTGTTAGTAAAACATGTGTGTGAGTTGTGTTAGTAAAACATGTGTGTGAGTTGTGTTAGTAAAATATCTGAACCAGTTGTTGTGGACCTCAGGAAGTCACTGTTTGTAACATTTTCACACCTGAATGAATCATGTGGATCCAAGATGGCCGCCACCTCCTCCATCAGGACGCTGTTTAAATCTGACGGTTGTTGAAACGATGACATCATCATCTGTTTCTTCTGCTGGACCTGCAGAGAGCGTTCTCCATGGACGACAGGATCGCCTGGACCCATGTGACCATCCCAGAGGGTCTGAGGGACGGCAACGTGGTGGACGAGTGGTACAGCCTCAGTGGTCGTCAGGGCGACGATAAGGAGGGCATGATCAACCTGGTGATGTCATTTACTGTAAGTGCTTCTGTTCTCACTTCTGCCTGAAATCAACTGTTTTTACCAAGTCAGGTCCTGAACAACCCTATCTACAGCAGGTAAGATACTAACCTTTAACACAGCAGCACTTTGTAGCTTTAGGATTTAAAAAGTTGTTTTTTCACCTCTAAACCAGTAAATCCAGTTGTTTCAGCTGCAGGCGGGTCGTTGTTTTACTCCTCAGAACTTTGTTTATGAAACTAAACCAGGTGGTTCTGGTTCCAACAGGTTTGGGTTAAAGGTTCTGATGGTTTGTGTTTCAGTCGTTACCTGCTGCTGTGATGAGTCAGCCTGTGGTTCTCATGCCCTCTGTGTACCAGGAAGGAGTCGGCTACGTTCCCATCACAGGTACACACAGGTGTACTCAGGTTCACATGCAGGTACACACAGGTACACACAGGTGTACTCAGGTACACATGCAGGTACACACAGGTACACACAGGTACACACAGGTACACTCAGGTACACACAGGTGTACTCAGGTACACACAGGTACACTCAGGTACACACAGGTACACTCAGGTACACACAGGTACACACAGGTACACTCAGGTACACACAGGTACACTCAGGTACACACAGGTACACTCATGTACACACAGGTGTACTCAGGTTCACATGCAGGTACACACAGGTACACACAGGTGTACTCAGGTACACACAGGTACACACAGGTACACACAGGTGTACTCAGGTACACACAGGTACACTCAGGTACATAAACAGGTACATACCCAGGAAGGTGTGTCCCACCTGTAAAGCTGTTCTCAGGTAAACGTTTGTTCCCAGGTGTCCCTGGAGTCTACAACCAGGGTGTAGTACCGATGGCCGTACCACCCAACATGCCAGTGATGGGGGGCCAGGGCCCCGCCTGCAGCGAGGAGGACCTGAAGGCTCTGCAGGACATGTTCCCAAACCTGGACCCTGAGGTGGTCCGTACGGTTCTGGAGGCCCAGCAGGGCAACAAGGACACTGCAATCAACTCTCTGCTGCAGATGGCTGAGGAGGTCTGAGAGCAGAACACGCCAACAACATGTCAACATGTCAACAAACCAACATGTCAACAAGTCAACATGTCAACAAGTCAACATGTCAACGAGTCAACATGCCAACAACATGTCAACAAGTCAACATGTCAACAAACCAACACGCCAACAACATGTCAACAAGTCAACATGTCAACAAACCAACACGCCAACAACATGTCAACAAGTCAACATGTCAACAAACCAACACGCCAACAACATGTCAACAAGTCAACATGTCAACAAACCAACACGCCAACAACATGTCAACAAGTCAACATGTCAACAAACCAACACGCCAACAACATGTCAACAAGTCAACATGTCAACAAACCAACACGCCAACAACATGTCAACAAGTCAACATGTCAACAAACCAACACGCCAACAACATGTCAACAAGTCAACATGTCAACAAACCAACATGTCAACAAGTCAACATGTCAACAAGTCAACATGTCAACAACATGTCAACAAGTCAACATGTCAACATGTCAACAACAAGTCAACAAGTCAACATGTCAACATGTCAACAAGTCAACAAGTCAACATGTCAACAACATGTCAACAAGTCAACAAGTCAACATGTCAACAACATGTCAACAAGTCAACAAGTCAACATGTCAACAACATGTCAACAAGTCAACATGTCAACATGTCAACAAGTCAACATGTGAACAAACCAACACGCCAACAACAAGTCAACATGTCAACATGTCAACAAACCAACACGCCAACAACATGTCAACAAGTCAACATGTCAACATGTCAACAAACCAACACGCCAACAACATGTCAACATGTCAACATGTCAACAAACCAACACGCCAACAACATGTCAACAAGTCAACATGTCAACAACATGTCAACAAGTCAACATGTCAACATGTCAACAAGTCAACATGTGAACAAACCAACACGCCAACAACAAGTCAACATGTCAACATGTCAACAAACCAACACGCCAACAACATGTCAACAAGTCAACATGTCAACAAGTCAACATGTCAACATGTCAACAAGTCAACATGTGAACAAACCAACACGCCAACAACATGTCAATATGTCATCATTTCCACAAGATGTAAACACGCCACCATGTCAAAATACCAACTACCCATGAAAAACACGCCAACAACACATTACTGTCATCAAATCAACATGTCAACATATCAACAACACTTGAACATGTCAACAACATGTCATTAACATGTTATTAAGATGTAAACATGCACACAACACGTAAACAGACAGATACATGAAAACATTTTTGTTTTTCAGTAACTTTTAAATGAAATCCAGATTCAGAAAACTTTGATTTTCCCAAAATAAACCCAGAATCATGGATGGAATTATTTATTCCTAGTTTCCATTGAAAGCCTTGTGTTTGTGTTTGTTTGTGTTTGTTTGTGTTTGTGTTGCTCTGATGTTCGGGTCAGGTCAGAACCTCTCTGGTCTCGTGTTGTTTGGGGCTCAGAACAGAGAAGCTGACAGGATCCAGACTGTGGAGGTTTGACTTGTAAACAAACATCAGGAAATGTTTTAAATGTTGGCCAGTTGCTCTGTTGCCATGGTAACCTTCAGTTTTATGTAAAATGATGATTTATTGTTTTTGTTTAAAATATCCGGACTAAAACCAGTCCATGAAGAGATCCTGTTGAAGTTTATCTATAAATCAGATAGTTTAGGTGTTTAATATGAACCTGTTGTTGTTTCTCTTGTTGTTCATAAATCAGCTGTAAACATTTAGTGTTGAAATAAAAACCAGTTTAATGTCAATCAGTTTATCTGCAGTTCAAACCTGGCTGCTTGTTTCTTTTTGCTCTAGTTTGTCTTTTAGCTCTTCTTTTGATAATTGTAGCTTTTAGCTACTTTTAGCTACTTCAGCTGGTTTTAGCCTTTCTGTCCAGCACTAAAGAGAAGTTCATGAAGACAAGAGTTTGTTTTGCAGAAATCTTTTATTAACTTGATGAGAAGCAGGAAGAAAGAATGTGAAACGTGAAAGAATCAGCTGAAGGCTGGAGGTGCGCTCAGCGTCTTCGGCGGTTTGGACTTCGGGTGGTGGTTCTGTCGGCACATTCCTCTGAGCTGCAGCGACACGTCTCCACCTGAGTGATGCTCTGTTGGACCTGGGACCCGTCTGAGCAGGTCAGGACCACCTGCTGCTGGCGGGTGGACGCCTCCCGACAGCACATGCACTCGTGCATCATGGAGTTAGCTGCTGCAGAGTAGCTGCAAACACACATCAGCCGAAGTTTTCAACATTTATCTACCAGGTGTCCCATCACAAACAGTCAGCGTTTTGAAACATCACAGCTCCATCAGGTGTACAGAGCTTTATTTTTTAGTTTTATACTTTAAAAACATTTGACTTTATTTAAAGGAAAATGCTAATTTTAGCTTTTAGCCACTGTTTTGTTAACTGTAGCTTCAGCATTTGTTTGCTCATTATAGCATCTGTGCTAACAAGCTAAGCTGCTGTGTTGAGAGGCAGATTCATTTAGGGTTTTATAAATAAATATAACTTACATGGCCGAGCTTCTGCAGTGGCCGACACAGGAAGTGATGTTGAGCAGCTCTGTGCTAACGCAGCCGTTCACCTGCAGCTGTGCTGCCTGGACGCTCACCTCACACTTACTCCTCAGCTCACCTGGAACACAGGAACACAGCTGTTAGCTGCAGATGTTAGCTCCAGCTGTTAGCTCTAGTTGTTAGCTCCAGCTGTTAGCTGCAGCTGTTAGCTCCAACTGTTAGCTCCAGCTGTTAGCTCCAGCTGTTAGCTCCAGCTGTTAGCTCCAGCTGTTAGCTGCAGCTGTTAGCTCCAGCTGTTAGCTGCAGCTGTTAGCTCCAGCTGTTAGCAGCAGGGCAGCTCAGCTCTTCAGGGGTCAAGCAGGATGAACTTACAGGAGCGGCAGCAGCCGGCAGTATCTGTCCTCTCAGAGCCCTGCAGGACAAACAGCTCAGGTTAAAGATCGGACCGGACCTGTCAGAACTTTCTTCAAACAAAGGGTTCAAACACTCACAGGTTCACAGTCAAGGGGGTCAAAGGGGGGGCAGGTGGTCCTGGTCTCCTTCATCACCAACTGTCCGTTGATCYTCTGACAGCTGTACTGGACACACCTGTCCTCAGGTGGGACATATGTGGTGTTGACCTGGTCCAGAGCAAAATTATTCTCCTTTAATCCTCCCTCCGTTTGGATCAGAACCAGTTTGAACTTATAAGGTTTAAACTTTAGACAGASAAAGAAGCAGAACCGACCTGGACCGTTTGGACCGTCTGGTTTTCTGAGCTGAAGAAACAGCTGTTCTGAACACATCGGCCACAACACGTGTCCGGACTGGACTCGTACTCAAAACCCTGCAGGAACAGAGACAACCACACATTCTTTGACCCGGTTCTGTGTTCCAGGCCTCCGCTTGGTTCTGAGGTCTGCAGAGGACCAGAGTCAGGTTCTACTGTGGGTACCTCAGAGCAGCTGGTGTTGCAGATGATCGGTGTGCAGGTGATGGTGTTCAGGTTGGTGCTGGGGTCCGCTTTAGGTCCACAGGTGCACTCCATGCAGGGTCCAGGTTTAACAGGGTCCCCTGATGGAGTTCTGACTGCTGATTGGTCCGTTCCTGAGGGGGCTCCAGGTGTTGGGGTCCCTGAGGGGGCTCCAGGTGTTGGGGTCCCTGAGGGGGCTCCAGGTGTTGGGATCTTTGCTCCAGGCTGGAAAAACAATAAATTTTTATTTTTTCTCACCAACCTTCCAATCTGAAGGTTTTCAGGTGAGGAGGAGGCGGAGCTTAGAGCTAATTTACCTGAAACTCGGTCATGTCGTAAACACAAACACCTTTAGGAACTGCAGAGACCAGAACAGAGACACGAGTCACAATCTGAGTCTTTAGACATAAAAGACAAGTTATTTTTCTGTCATATGTTAGAATTTAAAACAGTTTTAGTCCCCGTCAGAAAGGACAGGAAGTCAGACAGGTGGACAGGAAGTCAGAAAGGACAGGAAGTCAGAAAGGACAGGAAGTCAGACAGGTGGACAGGAAGTCAGAAAGGACAGGAAGTCAGACAGGTGGACAGGAAGTCAGACAGGTGGACAGGAAGTTAGACAGGTGGACAGGAAGTTAGACAGGTGGACAGGAAGTCACACAGGTGGACAGGAAGTCAGACAGGTGGACAGGAAGTCAGACAGGTGGACAGGAAGTCAGACAGGTGGACAGTGTGGTACCGCAGCGGTAGGACAGGCAGCAGGTCCCGTTGGTGGCACTGAGCTGGAAGCCCAGAGGACAGGAGACGGGGGACGGACACAGGCGGAGGTCACATTCTGTTGGAGTCACGGTGAAGGAGTTCAGCTGAATGTGTCTGAACCAGGTGAATGCTGGATGAATTGTCAAACGGACTCACCACAGGACTGTGACACGCAGCAGCCGTCGGTTCTGTTCACAAGCTGCTGACCCGGCTCGCTGCAGACTGGGCTCGGTTCTGCTGGGCATGAAACCGGCACACACTGAACACTCATGGAGTCCGAGTCACACTTACAGGTGTTGCAGCCGCTTGTCCACGTTTCACCTGGCTGTTAGAGAGGAACAAACTGGGTCAGAACCACGGGTCAGAACCTGGGTTTGTAATGGATTCTTTCTTTTTTTTTCACCTGCTTGGGGTTCCCGTCCGGACCGACACAATCTGAAACCCAAACACAGACGATTAAACAAGAATAAAGATGAACGTTTCTCAGACAAACTGTGGGATCGTTGTTTTCGTCAGATTCATCTAGAATAATTTCACAAAACGTTTGTTAAAACTTTCTTCCAGAACCAACAAACATTAATGTCGGTGTTTGAATAAGAAATGTGAGGAGACCCCAGACTGCACAGAGTTTCAGGAAGGAACTAAAAACCTCCCTTTTTAAGAGATTCTASTGTTACAGATAGTTTCAAATGTTGCTTTCAGTTTTTTTTAGTTTAACTGTTTTTATATTTGTAG